TTTTCTATCTACTGTCTATGCTACTTATTTTCTGTACCTTCTCCCCCCTTCTCCTCCTCCCACTCCCCTGTTGCTAACCCTCCTTGAGATCTTCATTTCTATGTTTCCACTCCTGATCTAGCTGTCCTTTTAGTTTGCTTTCGTTTTAGGTGTGGTTGTTAATAACTGTGAGTTTGTTGTCCTTTCACTGTTCATGTTTCTTTAACTTCTTTTTCTTAGATAAGTCCCTTTAACATTTCATATAATAAGGGCTTGGTGATGATGAACTCCTTGAATTTGATCTTATCTGAGAAGCACTTTATCTGCCCTTCCATTCTAAATGAAAGTTTTGCTGGATAGAGCAATCTTGGTTGTAGGTCTTTATATTTCATGACTTGGAATACCTCTTTCCAGCCCCTTCTTGACGTAAGGTCTCTTTTGAGAAATCAGCTGACAGTCTGATGGGAACTCCTTTGTAGGTGACTGTCCCCTTAGCTCTTGCTGCTTCTAGGATTCTCTCCTTCATTTGAATCATGGCTAATGTAATGATGATCTGTGCCTTGGTGTGTTCCTTCTTGGGTCCAACTTCTTTGGGACTCTCTGAGCTTCCTGGATTTCCTGGAAGTCTATTTCCTTTGCCAGATTGGGGAAATTCTCCTTTATTATTTGTTCAAATAAGTTTTCCACTGGTGGCTGTTCCTTTCCCCCTTCTGGAATCCCTATAATTTGGATGTTGGAGCGTTTAAAGATGTCCTGGAGGTTCCTAAGACTCTCCTCATTTTTTTGAATTCTTGCTTCTTCACTCTTTTCTGTTTGGCCATTATTTGCTTTCTTCTGGTCCATTCCATTGATTTGAGTCCCAGTTTCCTTTTCATCGCTATTGGTTTCCTGTGCAATTCCATTCATTTCAGTTAGTTTCGCCTTCATATGTTTCTCTAATTTGTGGCTATAATTAACCAGTTCTGTGAGGATCCTGATCACCAGTGTTTTAAACTGTGCATCTGAGAGTTTTGCTATTTCTTCATTGCTTAGATTTATAGGCTCTGGGGCTTTGAGTTCTTCTTGAGCCATTTTTGGTTTGTTCGTGCCCTTTAAGTCTGAGGAGCGGAGCCTTGGACTCCCAGGTTGCTGGGTTGTGACGCTGTACGTGGGGGCGTGGTCAGAGCAGGGAAATGGTGGCCCCCTCTGCTATTTTGAGCCTGGGTGAGGAGCGGAGGCTTAGGTGGTTCACCTGGGTCGGGCCACTCAGAGTCTCTGGGTTATGACGCTGTAAGTGGAGGTGGGGTCAGAGCAGGGAAATGGCGGCGCCCTCCCTGCCGCTGTCTGCGGGGACCCACTGGGTCCGGGTTCAATCGCCCACTCCCTCGCTTGTCTCACTCCCTCACTTGTCTACCCGTGCACGAATGCGTGACCACACTCAACCCACAGCCCTGCTCCCTCGCTGTTTCCCCGCGGTCACTCGCTCGGTCGCTCACTGGGTCCAACCCTGCGCCTGGATTCCGTGCACCTGAGTCCGTCTGACCGAGTTTTCCTGTGCAACTCCGCTCCGCCAGCTGCTGGTTTCGCCCCTTACCGGTCAGGCTGAAGAATTTGTTGTTAACAAACTTCCGAAAAGTTCAGTTTTCTGTGTTCTGGCTGTGTTTTCTGTTGCTAATATTTAGTTGTCTCTAAACTTGGTTGTGTGAGAAAGCACCGTGTCTCCACCTGTGCCTCCATCTTGGCGGAAGTAGGACAGGGTTTCATCCCAGCTCCCTAGTCCTGCTAGGTGGATGGGCAGCCTCTCTGGGCCCCATTGTTCTCGGGAAAGGGGCGCAGGGGCTGAGCCCAGCACTGGGCAGAGGGAAGGGCAGCGGTTGGTTTGTTTGTTGATTGCTTTTTTATTTTTTTAATTTTTTTATCTACTGATTTTAGAGAGAAGGAGGGCAAGGGAGAGAGAGAAAAACGTTGACCCGTCGTTCCGCCAATCCATACATTCATTGGTTGACTCCTGTGTGTGCCCCGAACAGAGATCAACTCACAACCTTGGCGTTTGGGGAAGACACTCGAACCGACTGAGCCACCCAGCCAGGGCAGAAGGGCAGCAGTCGTTGGGGGCACAGGGCTAGAAACTGCAGGTGGCACTGGCCTTATAGAGGTCAAGGCAGGGAGTGATGATAGCTTTGTCCAGGGGGAGGTATTGGTGGGTGCCATGGTCTGTCCGGGAAGGCTTCCTGGAGGTGACGGCATGGGAGCAGCAGCTGTGGGGCTGAAGGTGGGGGGCTGTGTGGGTGGGTGCGGGGCACTGGTAGGACCTCCCAGGTGGTGGGAAACGGCTGGAAGTCAGGCCCCCAGAGTGGATCTGGGGTTCGTGGCCCTGGGACCTGCTCGGAGCTCCTGGGAGGGTGAGGTTGGGGCTGGGAAGCGGCCCTTCAGGATGGACCACCGGGCTTGGTTGCGGGCTTCCTGCACCAGGGGCCCTCAGCCAACGCCAGTGGGAGGGACATGACCTTTTTGTCCTGCACAGACCTGCCCCTCAACCCCTGCTTTTCCCCTCGGGAAAGCCCATGAGCTATAGGACCGTTTTACAGCCCGGCTTGTCCCCTGAAGTACTCCCGCCCTTTTATCAGAATCTGGGGGCACTGAAGCATAATGTTTTGTGAATCTTAAGTCCAAAGCCAACATTTTCTAAGGGCTTTTTTTCTTTTGGCAGTTTCATTATTTCTTTGAATTTTCTTCGTTCTTTTTCATTCTAACCCACAATTACTCTGAGCGAGTTACATCTGTGCTGCCAGCCAGGCCAAGTTCCCTTCTGTTTTTCTGGTTCTCTCCGGCTCCCGGTGAAACGTCTGAAAGCAAACTGGTCCAAAAAGAATTTTCAGCCACAAGTCCACGGATTTATAACCCAGGGACACCGTAGTGTGACGTGAGAACATCTGTGCTCATTTTCAGGACAGTAACGTGTGCCGTCTCATTATTTCGCCTTTTATTTTGGTTGCTTGCTTTAAATTTGTTTTCAGCCAGAGATTCCTGCATTCATCAACAGACGGTTTATTCAGGCTGCTGAGGCCCTACTGTGCACCAGGCCCTTTTCCAGGCCAGGCACAAGACAGAGGGGCCCCCTGCCCTGGTGGGCTGCAGGCTCCAGCCTGGCGGGCAGACGAGGGCAGGGGCTGGGGAACTGCCACAGTAAATGACATGTTAGAGAGCGGGAAGTGCCACAGAGAGAAAAGGGAAACCGTATGGGGGTGAGCGCAGGGGGCAGGCTACGTCAAAGCTCCCTCCAGAGAAAATGCAAACTTCCATGGGCTTAGAGGTTTTTTCTTCGACTTCCTGAGAAAAGTAAGAAAGTGGCCTTTTACCCCTTCACCTGGGAGCAGAGAATGAGGAGGGCTTGGCAGAGAATGAGGAGGGCTTGGCAGGGCCATTTTTCCCAGAGACCAGCGTTTCCACTGGCGCTGAGCCTCCTGGGCTGTGCCCAGTGGGACTTGGGCTGACTCAAGGTGCCAGGTGGCCCAGCACAGAGGAGGCTGGGCCTTGGGGTCACAGCAACCTGGGTTCAAATCCAGACTCCAGCCTCCAGGTGGACAACCAAAGGCCAGTCTTTTCGCCACTCTGCCTCCCTTCCCCCAGGGGAAATATCCGTACTCATGCATGCATCCGAGCCTGCGGGACAGAGGAGTGGCCATCCGAGCTGCTCTGGGCCTCAGTTTCCCCATCTGTGAAGTGGGGGTGACACAACCACCCACCCACAGGGCTTTGACTGTACGTGTGAGGTGCTTCTCGTGGGCGGGGCCCAGAGGGTATGTGAACCAAGCGTGAGCTGTTGTTATTATCACCTGTCTCTCGGGATCCAGTTGGGCTACGTAAAAGACTTCGCACTGGGCAGGGCTTACAGTGGCACCGCCCTTCCCGCCCACGGGGCCCCTAACCCCTGCCCCAGTCCTGGGCTGCCCGCCCACCTTTCTCCCTCCTGGGCAAAATGTACCCCTGTGCCAGGCAAGTCACAGGTCGCTGGGGAGAGGATGCTGGCGATACAGGCCCAGCCTGAGCCCAGGCCCGCGGTGGGACCCAGAGAGGGTCTGGCAGCCTCCCTTCTGGGGGCTGGCCAGGGGGACCAGTCTGGTTCGAGCTCCTGGCGCCTCTCACTCCCTGCACCAGCCCACAGCCTGGCTCCCAGCTGCCAGGCCTGCGCCTTATTTGGGTCTTGTCTCCCCCCAGACAACACTTCCTGGCCTTAAAAGGCAGGCCCGGGGGGCAGAGGGGAGCAGTTGCCCTGCTGGCTTCAGAGCCCCTCCAGCTGCACCCCCAGCTGCTGGCTTGGCCAGACCATCCCTCCAGCTGTGGAGGCAACCAGGCCCCCGAAACCAGACCAGCCGAGCAGCCTACTCCTCACAGGGGTGGTGACAGGGGTGGGCTCCTGGAACAGCCCCCCGGCCCTCCCAGGCAGCCAGCCTCCCTCTGGTTTTCATTTCAAACCAGGTCTGGATCCACTTCAGTGTCTTCTTACCCAGTAGGGCAGGGAGAGGGTGGACAGCAGTGTCGCAGCTGCCGCTGACTGAGTGCCTACTGTGTACCAGGTCCTGTGTGTGTGTGTACACAGTGGGTCCTTTGCGCATGCTGCCATCCTCAGCCCTCACACCAGCCTGGGAGATACAGGGGCCTTATGACCCCCTTTTACAGCTGGGAAAGTAGGTCCAGAGAAGACAAGTCACACAGGCCAGCAAGTGACAGGGCTGAGACCCAACCTCGCATCTGTTACCTCTAAGCTTCTAATACATGCAGCTTTCGGGGTTGTTGGGGACGCCCCCAGCCTCACCCATGGCCCCTACCCATTGCCAGCCCCCTTGCCCCAGCCCTATCAGGCTTGCAGCCTTGTTCCAGCCCAACCCAGTTCATGCTGTGTGACCCGGGTAAACCGCCCCACCTCTCTGGGCCTCTGCCTCCCTCTGCACTGAGGGGGTAGAGATCCCTGCTGGGGCTAGAGTGGCGGGCAGGGAAGGGGAGTCTTGTCGAGCGAGGCTCTCACTCCCACCGTCCCTCAGTTGCAGGCGCCTCTGGCTTCGCAGAGCCCGGGTGGCCGGGCAGTGCCATGCGGCGGATGTCACTTCGGCCCACGGCCTTCTCAGGTGGGTCCTGGGGCAGCTGCTTGGGGTGTCCCTGTGCTAGGGGAGACCCGGAGGGACCGGCAATGAGGTGACTTCCCTAAAAGCCATCCGGGTCCTGCAGTGTGGGTCAGGAAGGGCGCCCTGCCTTTGCTTGCCCCAGGCTGGAAGGAAAACCTTGAGGGGAGAGGAAGGGCCCCAGAGGAAAGTTTGACCTGGGCTCAGACAGCCTGAGACCTGTGACCCCCAGACTCTTACAGGTGCAAGATTCCAAGCCCCCAGTTTCCTTTTTGTTTAAACTGCACTTCTCTGAGCGGCTGTAACATGAGCGACACCATGCCAGGTGCTCTCCATCATCAGCTTGTTTAAACCTCACAGCTGTGTCCCTGTCCCCCAGGATGGCACCACTGTCCCCATTTTAAAGAGGAGGAAGCTGAGGGTCAGAGACAGGTTGTGCCCTGCCTGCGGCCCCACAGCCAGGAAGGGGCAGCGTGGGGACTCCGCCCCGGGCTCTGTGGCTGTAACGTGCTCGCCCACCCTTGCTCTGAGTTCCGTATCCTCAGGTGCAGCCAGGGCTGACACTCGTCCTGAAATTCAGGGTCATGGCGAGGACTGGAGAGACAGGCTTATAAAGCGTTCAGTGGTGCCAGAAGCCAGAGGCTCCATAATTAGCCAGAACCGTTACGAACAACTAAGGGGTATCACCGGTGAGGCCAGAGGCGCTGGATGACGGGTCTGGAGGGAGGGTCAGTCAGTGGCTGGCCCCTCTGAGGCCAGCCCATTTCAGACTATAATGTGTCAGTTTCCAAGGCCAGCAAGCCCAGGGAACCCCAACCAGGAGGAAGCCACAGGATTTCCTGCCCCGGCTTCCCGGAAAGGAGTCGTGTTAGATGCCCAGGCTGAAGGGGTCCAGTCGGCTCCCTGGTCCTGCTCTGGGAGAGACCTTTGGGGCATGGTCCACCCTGACGGGTTGTTCTCTGCAGCCCCTTCCCTGTGCTGAGCTGTCTCATGTGTCAGGGTCATCAGATGTCCGTTCAATCCTCCATCCTGCCTCCAGGGGCTGGGAGTCTCTAAGGGCAACCTGGAGCCCCAGCCCCAACCGCCTCCCTCCCACAGGTTGTGCCAACTGCAGCAAAGTGCAGCTGGAGCTGACGGAACGGCTGAAGGTGCTGGAGGCCAAGGTGGGTAAGCAGCTGCCCCCTCGCCCGCAGCCTCCCACCCACGCCCTGCACCCCCCGCCCGGCCCACTCAGTGTCCCCACCATACCCCTGGGCGGGCAGCTGCCCCGCCAGGCACAGGCCACCCTCCTGTTGGTTCCCATCCAGCCTTCCTGGCCGCCCACCCCCGCCCCAGTGCCCCGCCCTGGGAAGCCTGCCCTGCTCTTCCTCCAGGATCCCCTGGAGCTCCCCCTACTTGCACCCCCAATCCCATCCCAGCCAGATGTTTGTAGAAACCCCCAGAGCCCTTGGCTGGGCCCCTCCTTGCCCCATTACCCTCATCCCGTAACCCAGTCACCGTCTTCCCAGTTTCCAAAGCAAACAACGTATTGCATGTCTCAAATGATTTCAAGACAACAAGGTTTTAACAGTGAAAAAGTAAGACACTTTTATTTTCAGAAACATGAGAAACTCAGAACCGGAAAACACCTCCCCGAGAACTGTTGGCATCGCTCACCTGTGCCCCCAGAGAGCGACTTAACACGCCAGCATCTTCTCTTCCAGACCCTAAATGCGCCCAGAGGCAGACGCACTGGGTCTGCACACGCCCGCCTCCACTATTCTTCCCTCTGGGAAGGAGAGGACCTGTGACGATGCTGACGAGAGTGTTAACTATTCACAGGGAGATTTGAAAACCAGAGAACAGAAGGGTGGTTGTCCAATTAGGGAGCAAGGCACAGCGCAGGATTAGGCAGCCGTGAACACCACCTCCATTAGCGAACGTAAAAAGATGCCTCTGATATGTCAAGTGGAAAAGCCAAGCTCCTGAAACACCACGTACTAGAACCTCAGATACGAGACGTGGGAGCGCCCGGAACCTGCAGGGCCGCCCAAGCTCCCAAGCTGGGAGGAGGGCCGCTCAGTCCCAGATCTGGGCTGTGGTTCTCAGGTCTGCCCCAGCGCGCCAGCTTTTCTCTGGGCCTCCCCACACAATCCCCTACACCCCCCCCCATCAGTGGACATTCCGGCCTGTCTTTAATCTTCATCAGTGCCTTGGGTCACTGCCCACCTTTGAGAGCCCCCCACCCCGCCCATCCCTACTACATCCAAAGTGGTTTTGTAAACACCTCCTGGCATTTCATGTCAGACGCTCCCAGACATCTCTTCAAATTCAGTAAAAATCCTGCCTGTGGTGCTTTAACAGATGGAGAGAGGTTTCACACGATTTATGCAGGTGAGCGTAAGCGAAAATCCAACAGGGCAGCGGTCACAGGACTCGCCTTGGGTGGCAGTGGTGACTCGTCTACAACAAATGTGATGATTTGTGCAGTTTGAAAACTGCAGTCACTTCTGATGACGTTCTAGACAAAGCTGGGCTCTGCTGGCTCCTCGGTCTCCTGTCCCCCACACTGGGGCCCCTCGGCTGGCCTGTCCCTGATGCGGCCCTGGTACCCACCCCCATCTCTCTTTCTTCCTCTTCCCCCGCAGGTGGCAGTGCTGACTGTCACGGAGCAGACAGTGCCCCCAACCCCGGCTGCCCCTGAGGACCCTGCCCCCCTCTGGGGCTCCCCAGCTGCCCGGGGCAGTCCTGGGGACGGAGGCCTGCGAGGTGAGTTGGTCACCCTTCCCCTGTGGGAGTGAGTTGGGGGAATGAGACGCCAGGTTCCACTCTGCCGCCGACTCCCAGATCGACCCCCTGGGGGGCCTGGGTCTTCCCAGATCTCCTGGGGCCCCTGAGCGCTGGAGTCCGGGGAGGCCCTACAGATCCTGCCCCACCTTCTCTGGTAGAAGGGGGGGGGGAGTACTCCGGATGACGCAGACCCCTGCCTCCCCCCACAACTCTAGGGCTACCGGGAGCCAGAGAAACCCTGAGGGCCCCGCTTCTCCCTCGAGATGGTAGGTACTGGTGGGGGCCTGGGTGGGGCCGGAGCAAGGCCGGAGCTGATGAGATTTCTCCCCCAGACCAAGTGGGTACCCGGGGGCTTCCTGGGCCCATCGGCCCCAAGGGAGACACTGGCAGCCGGGGCCCAACAGGAATGACAGGCCCACCAGGTGAGTGTCCGCAGCACTACCCACCCCCCCCCAGACTTTTCTGGCCAGCTCCCCCCACCCAGGGGGACCCGGGCTAGGATCTCCCTTCTTTGACCCTGACAGCTGGAGGTGGCCTGGGCCCCTTGCCCTCACTTGTCTCTCGGCTCACCACCCCTCCGAGGGTGCCCCGTTCACACTGGGCTCCTGAAACCCTCGTTTGCGTTCACTCGGCCCATGTCCTCTGGGAAGCTGCTCCCAGCAAGCTCTGAGCCAGGCGCTGGGGGTGGGCCAGACCAGTCCCTGCCCTCCTGGAGCTCCCGGGTGGGCCTAGGCAGAGGAGACACAGCAGTGCCCACCCGTGTGACCAGGGTTCTTAGGGGGATGTTGCAGGTATGGGAGCCCCCAAAAAGGAATCTCAAACCCAGCCTGGATCGGGTGGGGGTAGGGAGGGCTTCTCAGTGGGGGCAGCATCTTTGGTGAGGCCAAAAGGATGACCCGAATGACTCCCCGGGCATGGCAAAGGGAGGCCTGTCAGAGGGCAGGACGCGTGCAAAAGCCTGGAAGGGCCCACAGAGAACACTCTAGGAGTCAGCGTCTACTAAGCACCACGCGTCCACTGTCCTAAAGGCCCTAGCGAGGGCTGCGTTGTTTATCGGCCTGTGGACAGCCAGGAGAGTCACCCAGGAACAGCCCTTCTCCGGGGCCTCCGCAACCCTCTCCCACCCGAGGCCCCGGGCTGCCGTGTCCTGCCCCCTGGCAGCCGCCCTGGGCTCTCTGCCTCCTGAATACCCACCCACCCCCTGGTTCTGTTGCAGGGCCACAGGGACCCCCAGGGAGCCCTGGCCAGGACGGAGCTATGGGAACCCCTGGAGAGAGGGGACCTCCGGGCCCACCAGGGCCTCCTGGCCCCCCTGGCCCCCCAGCCCCCATTGGACCACCCCACGCCCGGATCCCTGAGCATGGTGAGTCCCTCAGGGTCACAGCAAATGGGGGTGGGGGTGGGAGTAGGGTGAGGCTAGCATCGGGTAACCACAATGCCACTGTGGTCTACCAGGCACCTGCTGTGGCCCTTGGCTGGGCACCCAGTGCTCCAGTGGGTGCCATTGCCCTCCTCTGTTCACTGATGAGGAAAACTGAGGGCCAGAGAGGGCAGACCACACAGCTGGGGCATGGGGGGCTGGCTGCAGGCCTGGGCGGCCTCTGACCATGTTCTTGGAACCACCGGGCCTTGGAGCTGGCCAGGATCCAGCCCTCGGGGCTCAGAGAAGCTCAAGGCCCCGTAGCAGGAAGCGAGCCCTGAGCTCCCAAGGCCACAGCCCTGCCCTGTGCTCAGAGAGGCCCCAGCCCCCTCCACCCAGCGAGACCCCGCCGTACTCCCTTCACCACCTCCCCAGCCTGACCTACACGTGTGACGCCCGAGGTCAGAGCTTGGGGTGCTGGGCTCAACCCGGTCTGCGTCACAGTGATGCCCTGCCAGACCCCTCTCCGTTCATGCCGTCCCACCGCTCAGTCTCTCTCCCCGAGCTTCCATTTCCTCATCTGTGCAGTGGGGACAATGACAGAGCTCTGTGACACTCTTGCAAAAATGGTAGCTTTATTGTTTATTCCCATTTGACCTGCGACAGTGCTGGCCCAGCAAGAGTCTTCCTGGATGTCACTGGCTAGACTGTGGCAAGGGTAGAACCTACGTCTCCCTGCCTCCGGGCCCGTGTGGCCAACACTCTCCCTGCTTCCCACCCTTGGAGCAGATGACAAGTGGCCCTAGCCACGCTGCAGGCTGTCCCACAGGGCAGTCACAGCTGTCTTGGCACAGGTGGCCGGTGCTCCACCCCACCCAGCCCTGCCCACTCATCACCTTTCCTCCTGCAGGGGACCCATTTCTGTCCAACACCTTCACAGAGGCCAGCAGCCACTGGCCCCAGGGACCAGCTGGGCCCCCTGGCCCCCCAGGGCCGATGGGTAAGTTGAGTCCGGGCCTGGGGTAAGCGGTGGGGTTGAGGGATGACAGGGACGAGAGCGGTGACTGCCGGGAGGGAGCTGATGGCAGAGACTCCAAGCCACTGTGCGCTGTCTCGGTGCAGAGGATATCCTGTCTTCTCGTTTGTAACTGAATTTATTGGGATGACATTGGTTCATAACATGACACAGGTTTCAAGGTGTACAGTTCTGTAACGTATCACCTGTATATATATCGTATTGTATATTCACCACCTCGAGTCACATCTGCTAAGATGGCCTGTCTCATTCCAGGTCCCCCCGGTCCTCCCGGTCCCATGGGCACCCCTGGGAGTCCCGGACACATAGTGAGTATTTCTCCAAGTACTCCCACGCATCTGCCCACCCACCCTTTCCCCCTCTGTCGTCTGTCCATCCATCTCTACTTTCCGTCATTCACTCAAGCACTTACGGAGCGCTGAGTGTGCAAACTACTTTCCATAAAGCTTCTCATTCCGTCCGAGTAACGAGAAGCCCTGTTGTTGTCACCTAAGGCCAAGGACGGTGGAGACACTTGCCCTAGAGCTGTGGCCAGCACATGGCAATCTCCAGAGCAAGGTGGGGGCTGTCCGATTCCAGGGCCACAGCTGTGAACACCGAGCTGTGTGGACTTCTCACTGCATGACCGTGATGGGATGTGTGAAAGGCCCAGAGGCGCAGGCTACGCCCCGCTCCCTCCCCACACCTCTGCCCCCAAGCCCCTGTCCACTCTTACCCTGCCCCAGCACAAGGCTGAGGCCCTGTCTTGTTACTCAGGGACCCCCAGGCCCCGCTGGACCCAAAGGAGTCTCCGGACACCCCGGAGAAAAAGGCGAGAGAGTGAGTACTGAATTGGCCCCTGGGCGAAGGGATCTGGGGAGGCTTGGGGCCCTGGGTCAGACACCTGACAGCTGACTCCATACTCTCCTCCCTCCCACACAGGGACTTCCTGGAGAGCCAGGGCCCCAAGGCTCCGTGGGACAGCGGGTGAGTGATGCTGCCCACCCTGCAGCGCCCCCTCCAGGATCCTCCGTGCACCCTCCGTGGCCAGCGTCCTGGCCCGCCCCGTCTGGTCCAGGGCATGCTCCGGTCTCCTCTCTCCCTCCCGGTCTCAGGGTCCTGGCAGCCTCTTAGGGTCAAGCCACCTCCGTCTCAAAGGATCTGTACCTGTTTCTCTCTTCCTCTGTCTCTCTTTCTCCGACGCCTACATTTCTCTGTTTGTCCATCTCTCTGACTATAATTGTGAATTTGTGTTTCTTCCTTTGGTTCGGTCCATTTTTGCTTCATCTGTTTTCTAAGCTTTGTTGATGGGTGCATACACATTCAGGATTTTATTGTCTTCTTGGCCCTTTTATCTTCATGAAATGACTGTCTTCCTCTCCGATAATACTCTTTGTCTTGAGTTCTACTTTGATTTTTTTAAAGATTTTATGTATTTATCTTTAGAGGGGAAGGGAAGGAGAGAGGGAGAGAAATACCAATGTATGGTTGCTTCTCGTGGGTCCCCCACTGGGAACTGGCCTGCAACCCAGGCATGTGCCCTGACTGGGAATTGAACTGGCAACCCTTTGGTTCACAGCCCGCACTCAATCCACTGAGCTACACCTGCCAGGGCTATTTATCATTTCTAATACTCTCTTTACCCTCCTATGGGTCCAGATTCCCACCCGACATCATTTTTCTTCAGCCTAAAGAATGTCCTTTAACCTTTCTTGTCCTGTGGGTCTGCAGACAGACAGTCCTCACTGTTTTTGTTTATCAAAGCTGTCTGTATACTCAGTGGAAGAGATATTCCCACTGGGTATAAAATTATAGGTTGGCCTTTTCCTCCCCGTTCAGCACTTCACAGATGTTGTCCCATGGTCTCCCAGCTTACCCGGCTGTCACAGTGTCTCAGGAGCAAGTGGCTGCCGTCCCTGTCCTTGTCCTCCTGCACATGTTTTCTTTGGCTTTAGAGATTTCTCTCCGCCCTTGGTTGCAACAGATTGATCACGATGTAATTGGCTTTTCTTTGTGTTCATTGAGATTCCTGGATCTTTTAGGTTGCTAGTCTATTTGTTTTTGCTGGTTGCTTTCTTTTGTTAAATTCTTTTTTTAGAGCATTATTTTGGGTTCGCAGCAAAGTTAAGCACGAAGTAGAGAGAATTCCCACACTCTCCCTGCTGCAGACATCTCGCACCTCGGTGGTACATGTGGCACAGCTGGCGAGCCCCCCTCGGCGTGTTATTATCACCCGAAGTCCGAAGTTTACACGAGGGCTCACTCTTGGTGTGTATGTTCTGTGCCTGTTGACACACGTGCAGTGACACACGTGCACCACTGTCAAATCACACTGAACAAATTCCCTAAAAATCAGTGTTTCGCCCTCCTATCAACATTTCTCTCTCTCCTTCTTCCTCTCTCTTGAAAATCAATACAAATGTATCCTTGGGTGAGGATTGGAAAAAAAGAAAAAAGACTGTGGTTTTTGCGTTTTAGTCTGCCTTGTAATTTTTGCTGAAGGACACGATGTCCTGGGTGAAGGGAACTGTGATCAGTGGGCGGGAAGGCGCCAGGGCAGGGAGAGGCGCTCCGCAGTCCCACACGAGGGCTCGGTCTCTGGGCGAGCCCGGGCCCCTGGGCTGGGAACTTCACCAGCACTTCTCAGTTGTTTCGCCCTTTCCCCCCTGAAGCGGAGCAAGATGGCTAGAGGGCGTTGAGGGCGCTGCGGGTGGGAGGGTAGGTTCCTGCCCCTGTGTGGAAAGGTACTTCCCTACCCCCAGGGCCATTCAGCTCTGATTAAGACCCCAAAGGTTAGGCTGTGGTAAAACAGTTTCTCCAGAGGGCAAGCCTAGTTAAGACCAGGATGCTCTGGTACATTTCAAGACACTTCCTTTTCCTCTCCCCTTGCTGAAAGCATGAGGGGATTTTTTTTTTTCAACTCTTGCTGTATGGACCTAGAAGAGGTCCCAGAGGTAAAACTCTCAAAAGTGTGGAGGCCTTCCAAAGACCGGGCCCCCTGGCATTTTTAACTCTCAGAATGGTCCGCGCTGAGCCCCAGAAGTTGATCGATGATGTTTAGGGTTTCTTATCCTGGCACCGGCTCTCCAGCGGCTTCTGCCCATCTGTCTCCGCACGTGGGGAAGCAGAAGCTTGCCCTGTGCTCACTTCCTCGGTGGTTCTAAAACGTGAGTGGTTGGGTTTCCAGGTTGTTCAGCATCTTACTTGTTAGGACAGAATGGTGACTCATGAGCTCTTTTTAGGCTAGACCAGAAACTGGGCATTTGTTTTGTTTTTACATCAAATTTGGAAAGAAAACTGATTCATATTTATTCCAACATTTTTTTTCTGTTCCTGTGCTTGTTTATCTCCTTCCGGGACTCCAGGTATATACTTCATATCCTCCCACAAATTCCTGAGGGTCCGTCAGTTCTTTAAAACATCTTTCTATTTTCTGTGGTTTAGTTGGAATTCTTTCACTGACCTGTGTTAAAGTCCATTGATTCTGTCTTCTGTTATGGCCAATCTTCTGTTAATCCCAGTTAATGAATTTTTTTTTATTTCAAGTATAATCATTCTTGTGTCCGGGATTTCCATTTGATTATTTTTTACAATGTTCACAACTCCCCTGAAATTGCCCATCCCATCACCCATTGTATTACTTCCACTAGGTTCTTTTTTTCTTTTCTTTTTTTCTGACAGAGGGGAAGGGAGGCAGAAAGAGAGAGAAACATCAATGTGTGGTTGCCTCTCACGCACTCCCAACTGGGGATCCAGCCTGCAACCCAGGCATGTGCTCTGACTGGGAATCGAACTGGTGACCCTTCGGTTCAAAGACCAGCACTTAATCCACTGAGCCACACCAGCCAGGGCTAGATTCTTTTTTATTTTATTTTATTTTTTTATTGATTATGCTGTTACAGTTGTTCTATTCCCCCCCTTCATTCCCCTCCACCCTACCCCCCATCCCCACCATCACCCCCCTTTAGTTTATGTCCATGTGTCTCAAGTTCTTTAGATTCTATATTTCCCATGCTATTCTTGCCCTCCCCCTATCTATTTTCTACCTACCATCTATGCTACTTATTCTCTGTACCTTCTCCCAACCTTCTCCTCCTCCCACTCCCCTGTTGCTAAACCTCCTTGAGATCTTCATTTCTATGTTTCCACTCCTGACCTAGCTGTCCTTTTAGTTTGCTTTTGTTTTAGGTGTGGTTGTTAATAACTGTGAGTTTGTTGTCCTTTCACTGTTCATGTTTCTTTAACTTCTTTTTCTTAGATAAGTCCCTTTAACATTTCATATAATATGAAATGATGATGAACTCCTTGAATTTGATCTTATCTGAGAAGCACTTTATCTGTCCTTCCATTCTAAATGAAAGTTTTGCTGGATAGAGAAATCTTGGTTGTAGGTCTTTGGATTTCATGACTTGGAATACCTCTTTCCAGCCCCTTCTTGCCTGTAAGGTCTCTTTTGAGAAATCTGCTGACAGTCTGATGGGGACTCCTTTGTAGGTGACTGTCCCCTTAGCTCTTGCTGCTTCTAGGATTCTCTCCTTCATTTTAATTTTGGCTAATGTAATTATGATGTGCCTTGGTGAGTTCCTTCTTGGGTCCAACTTCTTTGGTACTCTCTGAGCTTCCTGGATTTCCTGGAAGTCTATTTCCTTTGCCAGATTGGGGAAGTTCTCCTTTATTATTTGTTCAAATAAGTTTTCCACTGGTGGTTGTGCCTTTCCCCCTTCTGGTACCTGTAATTCGGATGTTGGAGCGTTTAAAGATGTCCTGGAGGTTCCTAAGACTCTCCTCATTTCTTTGAATTCTTGCTTCTTGACTCTTTTCTGTTTGGCCATTATTTGCTTTCTTCTGGTCCACTCCATTGATTTGAGTCCCAGTTTCCTTTTCATTGCTATTGGTTTCCTGTGCAATTCCATTCATTTCAATTAGTTTCGCCTTCATATATTTGTCTAATTTGTGGCTATAATCAACCAGTTCTGTGAGGATCCTGATCACCAGTGTTTTAAACTGTGCGTCTGAGAGTTTTGCTATTTCTTCATTGCTTAGATCTATAGGCTCTGGGGCTTTGAGATCTTCTTGAGCCATTTTTGGTCTGTTTGCGCCCTTTAAGTGTGAGAAGCAGCACCTTGGACTCCCAGGTTGCTGGGTTGTGACGCTGTATGTGGGGGCGTGGTCAGAGCGGGGAAATGGCGGCCCCCTCTGCTGTTTTGAGCCGCTGGGTGAGGAGCAGAGGCTTAGGTGGTTCACCTGGGTCGGGCCACTCAGATTCGCTGGGTTATGACGTTGTATGTGGAGGTGGGGTCAGAGCAGGGAAATGGCGGTGCCCTCCCTGCCGCTCTCTGCGGGGACCGGCTGGGTCCCGGTCCAATCGCCCAGTCCCTCGCTTGTCTATCCACGCACCTGTGTGTGACCACAGTCAACCCGCAGCCCTGCTCCCTCGCTGTTTCCCCGCGGTTGCTCGCTTGGTCGCTTGCTCGGTCGCTCACTAGGTCCAACCCTGCGCCTGGATTCCGCACGCCTGAGTCCGTCTGACCGAGCTTTCCTGTGCAACCCTGCTCCACCAGCTGCTGGTTTCGCCCCTTACTGGTCAGGCTGAAGAATTTGTTGTTAACAGACTTCCGAAAAGTTCAATTTTCTGTGTTCTGGCTCTGTTTTCTGTTGCTAATATTTAGTTGTCTCCAAACTTGGTTGTGTGAGAAGGCATGGCTTATCCACCTATGCCTCCATCTTGGCGGAAGTAGGGCTAGATTCTTTAATGTAGATAATTTAATCTGTGTCTGCTAAGCTCAGCATCTGGGTTGGATGTGGATCTGTTTCTGCTGACTGATTTTGCTGTTGAGTACAGGCCACATTTTCCAGTTTCTTCACATGTCTAATAATTTTTATTCCATACTAGACCATCTAGATAATGTAGAGAAGGGACTCTATTATAGGGTGAAGGATCCCATTCTCTTCCTCGGAAGAGTGTTGACTTTTGGCCTAGGGTGTGGGTTGGACTCAGATTGGGACTTGAGGTTGGCCAGTTCACGGACTATCCAAGGGTTAAAAGGGAGTCTTTATGCAGATGTCATTCTCTGTAGTACCTCCCTGCTTTCAGTTATTGCCTCTCAATTTCCTCCTTCTTTGGCAGTCTCCATTCTCTTCAGCCCCCTCTGACCCTTCAGGCCAAAGAACCTAAAGCTTTCTGCTTGAGCTGTCTGCTGGACAGAGGGGGCTGGGGTATATACCCTTCAGAGGAAAAGCTAGGTGGATTTTTCCCAGCGCCATTTTCTTCTTTCAAAGGCCAAATGTCCTCCAGTTTCTGGCTGTTCTTGATCACTTTCTGTGGCCTTCAAACAGTTATTTTCTGCATTTTATCTAGTGTTAGTCCAGTACAAGCTACTCTCTGTCTCTCTCTCATTATGTTTCTCTCTCTCCCCCCTTCCCTCTCTCCCCCCTTCCCTCTCTCCCCCCTTCCCTCTCTCCCCCCTTCCCTCTCTCCCCCCTTCCCTCTCTCCCTCCTTCCCTCTCCATTGTTTCTACCTCTATTTCTCCTTGCAGGGGGAACCTGGCCCCAAAGGAGATCCCGGTGAGAAGAGCCATTGGGTAAGCTCCAGCCCAGCACTAATTTTCTGCTACCCTCTCTTGCCTTGGGCCTTTGGGAAATTATTTTGGAATGGGGGCACCCCAGCCAAACCCCCATTGCAAGCCGCTGTCCCAGGGAGGAGCCCGGACAGTCCTCAGCCTGAGTGCCCTCCCTTGTCCTATCCCTCCCAGTTGGACAGGGCCAGCCTTATCAGCAGACCCCATGCTCTCTCTCTCTCTCTCTCTCTGTCGTCATGTCCCTGTCTCCGCCTTCCCTCTGCAGCCTTCCCAGGCCAGGGTGACCCTGCCTGCCCCTCCTGGGCAGTTTGGGCTGACCCAGTCCAGACTGCATTCCCTGCCTCCACAAGCCTCTCCAAGCAAGGGCTTCGGCTTCTGCTCCCCAGTCTACAGCAGAAAAGGGACGCAATAGCCACACAGAAGAACAGTCAGGGGGCCTTAGGAAAGCCACGAAATGTCAGAAGGGAGGCATAGAAATGCTGAGGTACACAGGAGCCCATGGTAAAGGTCCAAGGGACCTAGATACCATCATACACATAGGGAATCCATGAAGCATGGAAAGAGAAGCCTAGAAACTGTCCTGTAAATATGTGCATGATGAGTGAGTTCAGGGGACCAAGACTCCACTATGTCCAGGAGACCTATAATTAACATGAGGTCCTAGACACCGTCACATCCATTGGAGACCAAGGATGAGCGGAAGGAGATGCCTAGAGACTGTTGTAGTCACAGGAGAGCCATGAGAAATGAGGTGAAGAGAACAAGAAAGCACCACACACAAAGGAAGCCCATAACGAATGGGAAGGGAGGCCTAGGAACAGTCACATACACAGGAGGCATAGAGTAAAGTGGGAAAGGGGACCTGGAGACTACACGTGGGACCCTGGAAATCTTCACAGTCATTGGAGACAGTTGCAGTGAAGGACTTTCAGGGCTTAGAAATCTACCCACCCAAAAGACACACTGGGGGAGGACCCAAGCCCCAAAATGCAGGGACTGGAAACCATCACTGACATAGGAGACATTTGGAACATGGACGGGATTGGGGCGGACACTCCTACAGGAGACACAACTGGGAAGCTCTTTTGGAGGCTGGTATTGTAACTTCCTCCTCCACTCCCCCCCCTCCCCGGCCCCTCTCCCCGGTGCAGTCTGGCTGGGCCGTCCTACTTACTGGCAGGCACTAGTTAGTGAGGGCACCCAGCTCCTGCCTTGCCCTCTCTGCTCCTGATTGTGGGGTCAGCGATGGATACAGCCGTGGGAGTCCCCGACCCTGCACGAGTCCAACCCCGTGTCTTTCCGTGACTTCTGGGACCCTGCTACCTTTCTGGCAAGCCCCTCCCAGCTCCTCCCTGCCCCGCCCCCTGGGTGGCTCCAGAGCCTCTTAAGCATGATTCCAGCAACGGCATGAGCTGGAGCGGGGTCAGGTAGACCTGTGCGCGTCCAGCCCTCTGCCTCCCTCAGCTGCTTCCCTGGCCTCTCCGAGGACATTTTACACCCAGCCCAGGAAAGGTGGAGCATGAGGTGAAGTCTGAATTAGGCTAAGCAGCCCCACTCCTGCATGGGGATCCCAGCAGGAGAACGGGTGCCTGAACTACCCAAGGTCAGGACCACCTGTGAGAGGGGCTCCAAGAGGTAGCAGGGCCCCTGCCCATCCATCTGCCTCCCCTTCGCCCACCTGCACTTCTGCCCCTGCTTGCTGCCTGCCTGGGAGGGGGCCTGCTGGGTTGGGGGCTGCATGAGGCTTTGTAGGCTAGGGGAGTAGTTCTGTTGGGAGCAGATGGGAATGAGGTGCAGTGTGGGGAGGGCCCGGAAGATTCCTATACACATTTTACTTACCAACCCCATCCACTTAGCCAAGCTTTTTAAGCAAACTGACTCTGCTGTGGCTCAGCAGTGACACCCAGTGGCCATGGGCATGCACTGCAGGCACTGCTAGGGAGTGACTGCGCTGAACCAGCCCATATAGAACAAAGCTCACACCCCTTATTCAGACAGGAAAAATGGGGCCCAACTCTACAGAGCGAACTGTAGTCAGAGCTGGAACTGAAGCCCAGGCTTTCCAGCAACCAGGACTAGGGGCACCAGCTAACATTCCCCCAAACACCTCCTGGGTGGGTGCCAGGCTCCAGGCTAGGCACTGTGGACATAGACGTGATTTGGACACAGTCCCCACCCTCAGGGTGGTCACAGTGAAGTTGGGGGGAAACAGACTAGTAACCAGCAGAGACAGGACAGAGGGAGCTCAGCTGTGATGGGGGAGGACTTAGCATCCGCCTCCAGGAGATTAATGCTGGGGCCTGAAAGATGCATTGACCAGGCAAAGGGTGTTCGGGCAGAGGAGCAGGAGCATCATATGCAAGTTCTCGGGGGGGCAGATGTCAAAGGCTTTCATGACTTTGTTCTTTGTGAACTGTGAACTTTGAACTTTGTTCTAGTGGGCAGTGGGGAACCATTGTAATAGTTCTGAGCAGGGAAGCGACATGGTAGGGAGATGCCCCTACTGCCGTGTGGAGAGTGGATGGAAAAAACAGAAAGCGACTAGGCACAGGCTGTCGTGGTCACCCTGGCAAGAGACTGTGGGGGCAGCGGAGAGGGGCAGATGTCAGTGGAGCTAAGAGACACGTGGGTGCTGGTTTGGCTGTGAGGGGAGAGTGAGAAGGTAAGAGACACACACAGTGAAGGAGAGTCGTGGGAGGAGCAGGCCCCCGCCAAGTTTCGCCCATGAAAAACGGGAGATGTCTGGACGATGGCCCAGTGGGGGTGTCCCACAGGCCCCGGACGCTCAGGCCTGGCCGGGAGGGAGGCGCGGGGGTGTCATCAGTGCCAACAGCAGGCCCCCCATCTGGGGAGGGAGCCAAATAGAAGGCTCTTTTTTTTTTCCACATTTTTCCCCAAGATTTTTATTTTTAAAATTTTCAAATATGCAGAAATGTTGGTACAGTGAATATTATTTTTACCTTCCTCTAGACTGGACGATTACTATTTTTACCACATTTGCTGTATCTCTTTTTATATCTTTACACACGTTTTTTCCTAATCCATTTGAAGACAAGTTTCAAACTTCATCCACGTCTCCCCTAGCACACATCAGCATGTATCTGGAAAGACGGTGGACATTCTCCCAAAGCGCCACGATACCACCGTCACACCTAAGAAAGCTGACATTAATCCAGTGAAATGACGCCATTTAATACATAACATATACTTGTTTTGTCAGTGGTCCCAAAGTGCCTTTTATGGCTTTTTTTTTACTTCTAATCAAGTTTTTTGCATTGCACAGCGTCGTCCCGTCTCTAGCCCCTCTCCGCCCAACGCAGGCCTCCTCCCCCGCTTTTCTTTCTCTTTGTCTCTTTTCGACTGTTCAGCCCCCGAGATTTGTCTGTTTCCTGCTGATGAGACGCAGGTGAAGTCCTCTCGGCAGGGGCACTTCAGGGGGACGTGGTGCTCTCTTACTGCATCTCTGCAGGAGACTCGTGATGTCAGCTTGTCCACTGTCCACGCCGGGAGTGGTTTAACATAATTTCTGAAACTCATTCATTGTTAGCTCCTCTTCCTGTGATGCTTGAAGAGGGATTACTTTAGTGGACAGCCTGTGGTGACACTGTGACTGTCCCCCAGGCTGCAATGACCAGTCAGTGGCCTAAGGGTAGCTCAATCCATGTGATGTGGACAGGACACTGGGGTCATATCAGACAGTCACAGCAAGGCCATGGCGGGCTCACGAGTGTGTTAGTAGATCTCTCAGTTGTTAGATGTGTGTGTGGGGGAGGGAGAAGCTACTTTAAAGGGCTGGATTGTCCTTACAGCAACATGCACATTGCCCATCACCCCTTCACTTACTCCGTACTGAGTAAAGGACCTCGAGAAAGACTTCCGGCTGAAAGACAGTTGGAATAGCTATTTGCTGTACAAGTGCTCTGTTGGGGTTGAGGTTATCAATAATGCAGACCTAGCTGAAGTCTGGACTAGGAAAGGAGGAGAGAGGGAGTATGAGTTTAGGCAAGACCATGGACCCCATGCTGGGGCAGGAAAGGACAGAAAGATTGGGAGCAAGAGAAAGTGAGTGCCAGCTGCTGGTCTCTGGCATGAACCCCCCCCCCAGGCGGCAGCTGGCACTACTTGGGAGTGGGGAGCCCCAGATCAGGGAGGCCTGGGAGGAAGGTGGCTTTGTGGACCCCCTGCCACATCCCTCGGCCTGGGCGCTAGGGATGCTGCTTAGAAAAGAGGGTGGGGCTGAGGGCCAGGCTCCAGGATCTGCAGACTCTGGGCCTGGGGCAGTCAGAGCCTGGGAGGGTTGTGCTCAAAGTGAGAAGGGCTGGGGAGGGGGCACCAGGGCCAGACCTCAGTTTTGCCAGCATTCCAGACACAACTTCCTGATAGCAGTGCCACTCAAACATGCTCTCATTTTACTTGTCCATATTCCTTTTGACGTGAATGGAAAGCATATTGGTAAGTAGCCTGATCTCACTGATGGAGGTGGGCAAAAAGTGTGCCCCATCATTAGAGATGATGGAGGCTGCTTCACAGCAGCCTCCAGGGCACGTTCTGTGGCACATTCCACACAGGCCCTGGGACAGCACCGCTGCCCTCACCCGTAGTGCAGCAAGGGCGTGGGGAGGAAGCAGCCAGCTGGGATCCATCAGGACTTATTGAGGGGGCTGCTTCTGCCTGCTTTGTCCCCCTCCTGTCCTTTCCTGGTCTTGCCCTGGCTGTCCATGGGCCCTGGGCTGTGGCAGGGGGTGCAGGCTGCGGGTGCATGACCAGGGTGGGGCATGGGCCACTGACAGGCTTTGCAGGGCCCCCTCCCCTGCCCCCTTCACGGCTGCATCTGTCTCTTTCCTCCACAGGGGGAGGGGTTGCACCAACTACGCGAGGCTTTGAAGATTTTAGCTGAGAGGGTTTTAATCTTGGAAACAATGATTGGGCTCTATGGTGAGTAGAGACAGACAGACGGACAGACAGCCCAGCCCCTGCCCACCAGCCTCCCCCAGGACCTCCAGGGTGGAGCTGCCTGGGCCCAGTCTTGAGGCTGGAGAAGCTAAGACCACCTACCCCTCAGTGACTGGGTCCCTACCCCACAGGTGAAGGGGGGGCCTTAGAAACCAGGGCCCCCACCTCTGTGGTCGGACCTGGGCTTCCAGGCATTGTGGGTAACGTGGCTTCCAGGCCTGCAGGGGAAACCACAGGTGACAGACTTCGAGTTTGGAAGTTATGCGCAGTGAAGCCAAACTCCAGACCAGCAGGGGATTGTGGGTAACGGAGCCAGAATTGCAGGGGGTTGTGGGTAATAAAATCAGAGCCCAGCCCACAGGAGGATTATGGGTAACGGATCCAGACTTCAGCTCTAGAGAAATCGTGAGTAACCAAGCCAGTCTCCAGGCCCACAGGGACAATAGGTTGTGGAGCTGGACTCCAGAAATGCAGGGGACCGTTAGTGATAGAGTCAGGCTCAGGCCCCAGGGGATTCCGGGTAATGTACTGCCCACCAATTCTGGTCCTGCTTCACCCATAAGCCCCCAGAAGCTTCCAGGGCACGCCTTCCTGGCCTCAGCTATCCCCTTCACAGTTTCAGTTTCCTCTCTGGTCCTCCTTAACCAGCCCTGAGCATCTGTTTAGGGGCCTGAGAAAGCTAGACCCTCACCCTAGGAATTCACCCACCAGTTCTCTACCCATCACCCATCTGGTCACTTGAGGAGCCAAGAAAGCCCTGTCCCCACTTAGAAGGGGAGATCAAGAGATTCATACCCAGGCTCTTGGCCCATACACCCTACCCTCGGCCCCCGGCCCAGCCCTCGGAGGCCGGACTCGCACCGTCTGCTCTTCTCAATCTCCCATCAGGCTCCTAGCTTACAGAGCTTCCTGCAGCAGCAGGCTCAGCTGGAGCTCCTGGCCAGACGGGTCACCCTGCTGGAAGCCATCATCTGGCCAGGTAACGGCAGGGTGGGCAGGCAGGGGCAGCCCCTTCCCGGAAGACCCTGGGAAGGGCCTGGGGTCACAGAAGGAGACTCCCAATGCAGGACCCAGGCCAGCAGACACTCATTCGAATTTTAGCTCTTCAACTAGCAGACAGTGCCCGGTACAGAGAAGGTTCTGGTAACTGGTTCTTGTGTGAATGAGCACCTGCTCTGTGCCAGGTATCTTGCCTGCACAGGCTCCAACAGATAAGATATAGTCCTGTTCTCATGGAGTTTAGGCTATGGGAGTACAGGGGGAGCCCTGGAACCTGCCATTGAACTGGAAGTGAGGAATACTATGGTGGAGTGAGTACAGGCATCTATGAAAGCGCAGAAGTGCCACTGGCCCTGGCTAGGGTGGTACATTGGGGAGGGTATCTCAGGGAGGGCTTCCTGGAGGAGGTGTTGCCGAGGTGGAACCCTGACGGGCAGGGGTCAAGGGCAAGTGAACAGGCAGCAAAACAGAATGGGAAAAAGCCAAGCCAGAGACAGCCTAGAGGGATTGTTCCGTGAGACTGCAGAGTGGGTGAACACTTGGGCTACAGGATCTGCCAGGGCCCAATTTGAGAAGGTCCTCGAAGGTAGGTCAGGGAGGCATGGAAGGTTAGACACCAAGTGGGCATTCCTACTCCCCATACCTGGCTTGTCAAGGTGGGGCTAAGGAGGTCTCTCCCCCCATTAAACTGGAGTCTGTGGCTCACTCTGGAGAGAGGCAGGCATTGGCTGCCCTCAGGGCTGAGCCCCACTCCTTACCTGCTAAGAGGCACCGACAGCATCCCTTTTCTGCCCCATCTCACAACCCAGTCCCTGTGCATCAGTGCACACAGGTCTCAGGCATTGTGTCCAACTTCCCATCCATTTTACAAATGAGGGCACTGAGGCCTCCAAGCAAAAAAGGGCTCAGGTTAAAGCCAAGCCTCCTTCACTCAGCAAAACTGTAGGGTGCACCTACCGAGCGCCAGGCCTGGGCAGGCCATGTGCAGATCCCAAGGGTACCTGCCTTGGGGCACTGCCCATCAAGTGGCAGGAGATCCTCAGTATCTACAGAGAAGAGTGTCATGGGGTACAGAGGCACCTAAGGGTGTGGGTGAGGAAGAGTCACTTCTCCCTGGGGTATGGGGGGAAGGCTTCCTGGGAGATGGGACACTTGTGTTAGGTCCCGGAAGGTCCCAACAAGGGCACCAGGAGGAAGAGGCGGGAAGGGCAGCCCTCATAGTTTTACATGGGCAAAGGCCTGGAGGTTGGGGTGGGGGTGGGGCCCACTTCCAAAGCCCCTCTTACCATACCACACAGCTCCTCTCCCTTCTGGAAACATAATTGCCCATCTCCCAGACCTCCTTCCCTCTCACAGAGGAGGGACCAAGGCCCTAATCCCAGGCTCTCAGCACCTTTTCAGGTGTCCCCCACCTCCTCTCTCAGGAAGATTGTGGCAGGAGCCAGAGGACCATACTGTGGCTGGGATCAACATCCTGCCCTTCTTCAGCCAGCTGTCACCAGCTGTCACCAGCTGTCTCCAGTAGCCCACAGAGGAAGTGCCGGTCACTTAGGAAGGCCCATGCCCACTCTATGGCCACGAGCCTAGAAGGAAGATTCCACAAGCCAGCTGTGGCTGTGGGCCCAAAAGGGGTGGTGTAGGAGGAGGGGAGAAGGTGGAACCATCCCACTGGCCCATCATGCACGGCAGGCGCTAAAGACCCAGATGGGACTCAGGTTTAGGATGTAATCAGTGGTGGCAGCAGTAACAGCTGTCACACATCTAGCCCACTGGGCTGGGGGACTTACAATGACCACTTCCTGTCCTTACAACCAGCTTGCTAGGGGGATGATGCGATGCCCATCTCACAGACGAAAACAGACTCCCTCAGGGCCATAAGAACAGCAGCGGTAAGGCCAGGGGTCCACGCTAGTTCTGTCCTGGCTCTTCTGGCTCCACTGGCAAAGGTTTGCCGACACCTGTGCTTCACTAGGCCCTGAATTTGATTACGTCAGAGCAGCACCTCATGAACAAACTCACAGTGACCAGACCCACAGGGGACCCGGGTCAAAAGCTCATCATCCCACTGACCAGTGATCCAACACGTACTATGGAAACCACTCTCCACTCCTGGTCACGTTAACGCAGCAAGGGTGTGACAACAGGAACGTGAGCCCACATTCCAGATGAGGCTGAGAGGCCTCTGGCTTGCCCAGGACACAGAACCAGGGTATGGTGGGGCAGGACGGGGCCCTGGCTCACGCTGGTGCCTGAGCCCCCTAATTTAAGGCATGAACTGTCCCTCAACTGTGATGGCATGTGCTTATTTGCCCCACGATCCCCAAATCTCAGCCCAGAGGTGCAGGGGAGGCTGGAACACAGGGTCGAGGCGCCTACCAGTCATGATTAGGAGGGTTGAGCCCTCTCTCCCAGCAGTGCCCTCAGTAAGGGGCCGGTGCTCACCAAAGCCAAGTGTCCCTCCTGTGAACAGGGCTTCAAAGGCTGAGTCAAGTCCTCCACCCTGGGGCTCTTCCCTGGGCCTTGCTCTCCCCCAAGAAAACCAGCCCACCCTCTGACCTGGTTATTTCGCTTTGAGAGGGCCCGAGGTTGCTAGGCACAGGGGGCTTTCTAGGAGAGGCGAGACCTGCCCTAGGTTTCGTAGGATGAGTAGGGGTTTTTTTAGATGGCAAGAATACCCATTATAGTCAGACCTCGGTACTCACTGGCTTCAGAACTCATCAAACCCTGTACTCGTCTCATTTTGATGAGAAAAAAAATATTTCATTGCTCATGTCAGTTTTGGCACTCATCACAAGTTAACAAATTAACGACGAGTACCAAGGTACCGTTTGTACTCATTTCACTCTTGGGGTCCAGCTCATTTCGAGGCTGGGGCACACTCCACAGCCAAACCGGAACTGGCTTCCTAACTACAGGAGTTGGCCAGGACCCTAGAGTATATCTGGAACTGTCCCCCTGCTTTCAGGGGAGAGACAACCGAGGGCCTGACAGACTTCCAGTTTGCCCCGAGCCACAGAGTAAAGCAGGTCAGCGGCACAGCCTGGCCTTGCTAAACCCTTCCCACCAAACCGACCTAATCCTAGGTGAAGTGCGTCCGTTCCTTGGTTTTAGTTTACCCAGCTCTGAAGTGGGGACGATTCAATGCACACCTTCACCCCAAAAATGCAGGGAAAAAAATGATCTGTACTTTTTGTGGAGTGCTCACTACACGCCAAGCATTTCAGGAACATGGTGGGTTCATTTATCCCCGCTCCACAGGAAATCATAGGCCCTGAGTGCTCACGGGCTGGGAGCTGATGACGCCTTGGTGGGGGGACACTAACCAGTGTGCAGACCCCCGTTTTCCCCACAGCTCTGCCTCCTGGATGCCAGGACAGAGTGCACCTGGCCGAGTGTCCAGTCCCCACCCCCCAGGGGGCCAAGGGGAGGTGGGTGCCTCACACAGACCTCACTAACCCAGCCTCTCTCCTTCCCTCCGGCAGAACCAGAGGGGTCAGGGGCAGACCCTGCCGGCACAGGCACCCCCAACCTCCTTCGGGGCAAGAGGGGAGGACACACAACCAACTACCGGATCGTGGCCCCCAGGAGCCGCAACGAGAGAGGCTGAGGGTGGAGGCGGCCCCTGGGGGTGGGCCAGGCCAGGCTTCCCTTCCCAGCCTGGACTCAGCCAGCTGCCTCCAGGGACCGCCCATCCGTATTTATTAATGTTCTCAGGGTCCCTCCGCCTCCTAGGCCTTTAGGCATGGCACCCCGGGCACACCTGCCTCACCTGAGGCTGAGCAGGGACTGGGACCTGAGAGGGAGAGATGGCCCAGGCAGAAGGTGAGGACCTGTTCCTCTCTGCAGGGAGAGGGTGGCAGGTTCAGGGTTTCTGTCTTCCGTCAGCTGCCAAGGCTTCCAGGCCGGCAGGCACTGAGGGAGGCGGAGCTCCGCCCAGCCCTCAGTACGTGCAGGGATGAAGAGGGAGGGCAGTCTCACCTCCCTTCCCCCACACCAAACCTCAGAGGAGCCCACCCTCGCCCCTCCTCTCATCCTCCCCCCAATGTGCTGGGTCCCTAACCTTGAGGTCAAGCTGGCTGCGCTGACAGGGTATTGTGGACTCCTTGTCTCAGTTCTGTCCCGAGCCCCCAGCCACACCCATGTCCCAGGTGAGAGGTGGGGGCATGGAAAGCAAGGAGCCACCTGCTCCCGAAAAGCTTCTGACAGATACGGGGAGATAGGTGTCTGCTGGCAATAAAGGCCCCCACCCTGATTCCCCACCCAGCCTGATCCGTGTGTGCTTCCATGGGGGGGCCAGGGCAAGACCAAGGGCCTCCTTCCTTTTCTCAGTGACCTTCTCTGTCGGCCTGCACAGCAGGGTTGAGGCTGGCCACACAGAGTTAGAGGGCTGGGGCTCCCTTGGGCAGTGGGGAGGCAAAGGGGCAGGTGAGCAGAACAGAGGCGTAGGCCACCCCCACCTGCTGGCCAGGTATCCAGCAACAGCTGTGGATTCTGAGGGGCCAGGGGAGCAAGGGGCTGCCCAACCTCAGGGCAGCTTCACCTGAGCCTGTTCGCTCGATTGAAATGAAACTGACAGCATGGCCCTCAAATTTCCTAGGCAGTTTCTGGTCCCCAGCTGGTGACCAAAAGCAGGGTAACCACAGTGTAGACTGCCCTGGGACATGTAGCCCGGTCCCACCCCACCGAACCCCTCTCCCCAGCCCATCCAAAACACACCCATGCCCTATTCACTGCCCTCTCAGGTGTCTGCACCTCCCCTCCCAGGGGAGGGGCTGCTGCTGCTTCAAAGAGGAGGAAGCTTCTCCCCCACAGCACCCCCACCCATTGTTTCCTGCCCAAGGGCCCAGCAGTGCACAGCCACCAGCCTCCCAGCCTGCTCTGGGCCAGGCCCAGGAGGCTGACTGACCTGGCCCTGTCCAGCGAGGGCACTGAGGGACGTGGGCAGCGAAAGGATGGTATTCCTGGGTAATCAGGGAAGGTTTCCTGGAGGGTAGTCTCTCTGTAGGCTGAGAGAGGAGAATGGGTAGAACATAGCTGGGAAACAGGTGATTAAGAATCATCTCTGGGCCCTGGCTGGTGTGGTTCAGTGGACTGAGTGCCGGGCTGCAAACGGAAAGGTCACTGGTTCAATTCCCAGTCATGCCTGGGTTGTGGGCCAGGTCCCCTGTTGGGGGCATGCGAGAAGCAGCTGATGGATGTTTCTCTTTCTCCCTCTCTCTAAAAGATAAGTAAATTAAATCTAAAGAATGCCCCTTGGCTGGAGCAGTGGGTCCAGCCCAGCCAAGGCCCGAGGAGGAGAACATAACTTCCTGGGGGGAGAGGCTACATGGTTGGTGCAGGGACCGTGACGCTGGACACCAGAGACTGCTCGCCTGCCACCGGCTCTTCGTTTGCTGTTCACTCATTCATCCCCTGCTGCCAACACATACCAGTCAGATACAACTGCTGCCCCAAGGAGGTCCAGGCTGAAAAGTGAACTGGTTTTATTCTGAGCAGCACCAGTACAGGGTGCTGTAGGGCCTCTCCTGTACCCACTGTGACTTGGCATGCTGGGACTTGGACTACTGACACATAAGCCAGGCCTCTTGTCACCTGAGGGCCAGCCTGTGCTAGGGGGGCCCAGGACCTTCAGGGTGAGCGGGCCCACCCTTCCCCTCAGTCACCAGGGCCTCAGCGCCCACGTCCCCGCCGACCAGCAGTGACACGGCACCCTCAACTCGACCTGTGGCTGCTAATGCCACCACTGCCTGCTCCGTGGGGAAGCCCATGCGCTCCAGCTGCTGCAGCCTGTGAGATGGAGGGGACGGAGAGTATCAGGGCCACCACCAGCCCTCACACGGGGAGACCCCACCCCTATCCACCCTGCCTTACCGTAGAGAAGAGACGGAAGACTTAGGCAGCCACAGTGAGCCCTTGGGAACCTGGGCTTGCCCCTCAAGGAGCGAGGCCTGGATCCCTTCCTGTAGCATCTGCTCATCTAGGGCTGCCCACAGCGGGGTCCCTGTGGGGAAGCTGGGCCCGGTCCAGGCCAGGCCAACCTCTGTGGAGCCGTTCCAGGTCGGCTGCATAGGCCCCAGGCCTGGTGGAAATAAGGCTGAGTCTTCACTGTGGGACCAAAGCCTAGAGGAGGCCATGTGAGGAGGCCCAGGGGTGGAAAGCCTGGAGGGGCAGAAGCAGAAGAGGGCCTGTCTGCCAGCCACTGCCACAGCTTCCACCGCCAGGGCTGGTATCCTCGGCATCGCCCTCACCTCACTCCAGGAAGAGTGAAAGGCAGCTCGGCCACACTGCCTGGGTTGGGAAGGAGCCTGAGCGGCCAGCACTCCGCCAAGACCCTGCACAAGAAGCCCTCCTGCAGCACCTGCAGCCGCCGCTCAGAGAGCTCCAGCCATTGGAAGGCTCCAGCTGCGTCTGTCTGCCCAGGGCAGGGCGGCCAGTCAAGGAAAACCAGAGCCAGCCAGGAGTGAGCCCACACTGCATGCCAGGCCCCATGCCAAGTGTATGCTGGGCATTCCCATGTCTTCTCACTATGGCCCCGCAAGGGCTGTGTCGTCACCCCAGTCAGCAATGGGAGTTCAGAGGAGAAGGGATCTGCCTGAAGCTACTCAACCAGTAAGAGGTGCAGCCACATCTGCCTCACCCCAAAAACCTGTCTCATCCTGTTTCACCAGCTGCTGCCCTGTTCTATTCCCAGAGCCCCATCTCCGTGTTTAGGTGTGTGACTCGAGGCACACTGTTGGGCCCAGGGACACATGCCCCTATTCTTCTCGGCCAGGGCAACATACCCCCACTCCAGGATTTGGCAAGGCCTCAGCACCTAGTGCCCCTAACCCTAAACAACCACAGGGGTCCGCCTGCACCCACTGCTCTCTGAGTGCACTGCTTTCCCCAACAGGCATCAAGCATCTTCAGAGCAAAAGCCCATGTTTAATGTGCGTGCAGTGTCCACCACAGGTGACTCTCCCTTTCAGTGCCCAGAGCCCCAGCTCGCTCTCTCCCCTGGCCTTCGCACTTTCTGTACCCTCTGCCTGGCCCCTCTCTCCTTTTTCACTTCTCTTTATTTAAATGCCCATCCTGCATGTCTCAGCTTAGAGGCCACTTCCACTGGGGGGGAGGTCCTGGTTAGGTGCCTCCTTGGGCCACCTCAACGCTCCCGAGTTCCCCTTTAAATGTGAATTGGCACTTCCACCTGGCCATAAGCCCCCCAAGCCCCAACCCAGACCCTGGTTAGACAAGGACTCAGAGATGGTCCTGAAGTGTGTGTGCACAGCTTTCCGGCGATGTTGGCCTGACCCACTTGTGCCACTTCCCTCCCAGGTACCCTGGGGGCCCAGCCACAACCCACACATCCACACAGGCCCAGGGTCCAGCCAAGGATACAGGCCAGGCCAGCAAGGAGACCACAGAGGAGATGCAGGAAGGGTGGCTCAGAGGTGAGCAGCGGTGTCAGGATGAGCAGTAGCCATGGCGACAGCCACGGTGGCAGTGCCCCATGGGGCCATCTAGGGTGGTAACCCTGCCCCGCCAGCATGGCCAGATGGACAGGCATGTATCCGCAGCCACCAGCTGCACTGGACACCCCGAGGCCTGCCAGCAGCACAGCCATTAGCCCAGCAGCCAGGGCGAGCAGGGTGGAGGCATGCAGGAACCGCAGTGTGCCCAGGTGGCACTCCTGCCACCAGCCCAGCGTGGGCAGGAGCAACAGACTCAAGAGTAGGCTGGGTAGGGCCGTGTGGCCCACAGCATGGGTCAGCAGTCTGTGTGCTAGGAGAGAGAAGGGGCTGATATGCCAGGTTAGTGGTCCCCAACCCCCAAGGCTGTCGCAGGTATGCCAGGCTGGGAATCACCCTCTGCCAGGGCTACCTGCTAAGCCAGCCTGCCCTCCCCAGGGGCCAAAGCCCGTCCACTGCCAGCAATCACTCATGGGGCGGGAGTGAACCAAAGGCTTCCAAACACTGGCTGCTCCCCTGCTGTATTAAACAGAACAAGCCAGACCAGCTATGGAGTCACTTAACCTCTGTGATCTTCATTTCAGTTCCTCAAATGTGAATGGAAGCTACTGTTATTATTGGGAAACAGGCACTCAGCAAGGTCACTCCTCGAACTCCCAGCACCACCTCTTCTGTCCACTCTCGTACTTCGCTGAAAGCCCTAGTTCTTATTTCAGGAACCCTTCTGAAATGTTTCTACTCACAGGCTCCCACCCCTCTGCTGCCTCCTCTGCCCTCCTTGGTTGTGGATGAGTAGGACATGCTCTGGCCCAAGGCTGACCCTCCCCGGGGCACTGGGTCCTATCCCTGTCTGTGCACTGCAAGAGGTATGCTGCTCCTGCCAAATGGTCTCAGGCCCTACAGCAAGTCTCCTGCCTCCTCCGAGGCCCAGGAAGCCAGCCCTCACCCTGCCAGGGGTCCAACAGCATCTCCGGAGCCAGGGCAAGGCTGGGGCCAGCCCCCACCAGCCACAGACAGCTCATTAGCAGCATCAGGACCGAGGAGGCAAGAGGCAGCGCTGGGGACATTAGGCCAGGAGGGCTTCTGACATACATGGCTTGGCTGAAGGTGGTCAAGGACAGTCTTTGGGCTGTGTGCTATAGGCAAAGGAAAACAGTAAGTTATTATTGCAGCTTTTATCAGACTTCCTTTCAATTACCCTACCAACAGCTTCATTTTACAGAAGAGGAACAGGCTGTAGAGACAGACCCAGCAACTTGGCCCTAGAGGAGCTCAGACCCTAAACACGTGCTTAGCCATCTCGCCAGTCCACCAAGCCCATGTGTGAGGATCGAAAGAAGCCAGGCCAGAAGGGTCTGAGCACTGCTGGTCCCTGAAGAAGAATATGAGGTGGGAGGTACAGGGCCAGGGAAGTTGAAGTCAGGCCCTGGACTCCCAAAAAGAAGGACACAGACCCTTGGGGCAAATTCAGGGTCCTTTCCAGCCTTCTTCTGCTGCCCTGTGGCTACACAGCGACTGTCTTCCTCCCTCCTCTTTTCCACTGTGCCCAACCTTGGACAGCCAGTTGGCCTCTGCTGCCAGAGACCAAGAGGTAGAGACCAGCCAATGGGCACACAGATTAGGGAGGGGGTGGGGCAGAAGGAGTCCCACACCCCCAGTGCATGAGAAGTGATACTGAACTGAAATATTACCTTTTACAGAGCCCCAGCACAGCCCCTCTGGCCATAGCCCCCCTTTCCACAGGGACATTCCAGAATCTGCGACTGCCCGTGGTACATCCCTGGGCAAGCTTTCCAACCTCTGAGCCTCTCCTTCCTCTTCTGTAAAATGGGGATTAAGAAAATCCTGCCCTACAAGTGCAATAAACAATAATTTAAAAAAGAAAAAAGAAAATCCTTTCCTCACAGGATTAAAGAAAGGAATGACCAAGGCAGCCTCCCACTTCTGCTCATTTAACTGAGCCATCCCAGCCAGTTGTGGAAGGCAGATGTGGCCACCAGCTGCCCCAGCAAGGGGAGGCCTCAATATGATGGCAGTCACTCCAGCCTCACCAGTTCAGACTCTGGCTTTCAAACGTGCCCATTCCCAACCCTCACAGCAACGCTATTTCTCCCTTTATCTCCCCTCACATCCAGCCTGTTGTCCAGGCCCTACTGGAACCTCCTCACCCTTGGCCAGGCTTGTCTGTCTCAGGAGTCCCATTGAACTGACTTTGCAGGGCAGGAAGCAAAATCCCAGAGAGACAAGCCAGCCTGCCCTGCTCCCTTGTCAAGGACATCCTCAGCATCAAAACCCACCTGTCAGTTCCTGCAGGAAACATGTAGAAAGCTCCTTTGCCTCGATCTTCAACATGCAAACTCCTTTGCACCCTTTGAAGCCCAGCTCAAACGTCCCCAACCCCTCTTCTGGCCCTCACGTCATGAACCTCATCTAATGAGTACACCTTTGCCTGCATTTCACACAGGCAGCTGGTCTGAGCTAAAGAGTGGGGGACAGAGGGTCATTCATCCGTTATCCAGGATGCTCCTTACACATAGCTGGTGCTTTACACGTGTTCACTGAACACAAAACACTAGCTTGGCACCACCTGGCTGTGGGATTTGGGTGAGACTGGGTTAAAGGTTGTCCACGAAGGCAGACAGGTGTCGCCCTGGTCCAGAGCCAAGGCACCCACTGCAAGCCTCCTCCTGCACCCTCACAACCAACCCCCCACCCCTCCAGGACTTGACCATGGGCAAACAGAACTGGAATTTGAGCCCTCCAGACCGCAGTCTCAATCTGTAAAATGGGGCTATGCACCGTCAGGCCCTGCCTACCTTATTGGGAAGCCGGAGGACAGAATGGGAAGGCAAGGACCGGGAAGAGCCTTCCGGGTGATGGAGAGTGTGGGGCTCCCAAGGTGTGGGTCGGACTCAGTTTTGTGACTAGGAAAAGTCCTCGGGCCTCAGTTTCCCCTTCTGTAAAAACAAGGGTATTAAATGAGGAATGATTAAAGAGCCTTCTCAACCTCGACCGTTACTGAGGGGCTCTCGGGACCAAGTGCAACGTTCGGGACCTCCCTTCCAGCCTACCGGCTTCGGCCCCCGCTCTAGCCGGCTCAGGCCACGTGTCTGGGGTACTCACTGCGGAGCGCGCCCCCCGCCCGCCAAGAGCCGGGCGGGGTGCCCGGCTGGAAATAGGGACTGTAGCTTCCCGCCGAGGCCCGAGCACCCTAAAACCATTCTACTTGCACTCGAGCGCGTGACCCCCCACCCCCCCGCGGCCGACCGCCTGGCGCGCCACCCCCTCCCCCGCCACCAGCGAATTAGTCAGCAGTTGTTCCAGGCCCAGGTCCCTTCCCCCAGCCCTCCCGCCGCTCTCCGTTTCCCTTCAAGGCGACTCTTCAGAGACGGTCCCTAGAGCCAGAGGACGTTACCACTTGGAACAATTTAGCCTCGTACGGAGAATCACTTCGCCTTGATACCGAGACCCACTTATCCGCCGCTCCGGTCCCTTCGGTATACTTTGGCCCGTACGTCACGGCCGGCAGTATTTAGAGAGAATTAGGGAAAGAGCTGAGGGCGAGAGGCCTAGGAAGCTGTGGTTCATCCCTCTTCCCCCCGTGGCCTGGCCGGATGGTAGCGCCCGAGGTTGCGGGTTTCGCGCCTGCGCAGTGCGGCGCCTAGAGGGAAAGCGAGAGGGAGACGGACGTTGAGAGAACGAGAAGGAAGGAGAGAAAATGGCGTCCACGGGTGAGTGTAGAGAAAATGCGGCCGCGCCGGCCATGGCCAGGGCGCCCAAGTCGAGGGTCGCTCGTATCTGGAGGCGGCCGAGACGACTGAGTGGAGTTTCTGAGAACAGTGTGAGGTACCCGGCGCTGTTCCACGACCTCGAGGACTCGCATTTCTCTCCCCTCCCCCACCTGGCAGGCCAGTTCTGGAACCTTCCAGCGCCCCTGCCGCGCGGGGGCTAGCGGTGGCGGGGGCGCGCGGGTCCTTCAGTGGTCTCCATTGTGTGGCGGCCGTCGGGCCCCGCGCTCCCCGCCGCCCGCCACGTGGGCGGGGCCTGCGGCCTCGGGCCCCGCGTGGGAGGGGGGGTCGGTCCGGCCTAGCGCTCGGCACCCCGAAACCGAAGGTCGGGGTGCCAGACGCCTCGAAGGCCACGAGTATCCTGTGACTTTCCACACCTTATTTCCAGGGTGGCGGCCCAAACGCGAGGGTGATTCTGCCCCACCGAGAAGCGAATAAACAAACAAAAAAGGCATAGCGGATTAACGAGCCGAGGGGCGCCGGCCTATGAGCGGGAGCCCCGTCATCCTTAAGGCCCGGTTGGCGGGGGCGTCCGGTGCCGCCTAGCTGCCCCCTTGGAGAGTTCCAGCCCCGAGCTGAACTTCTGCCTGAGTGGGCTTTAAAGGGGTTGAGTTCCCACCTGGAGAGTGACCCCCCCCCCCGTTGGGGGTCCCTGGGGCTTCTTGGTTTTTACCATTAGTTCCATCTCCTTCCCGCCCTAGAAAGCAATTAAGTAGCTTCTCTGGGCAATTTTTTAGCAAACGTCGAGGGAGTTGCGTTGTATAATAAGACCTGCCTGGCTCGCAGGCCCTACCGAAAGAAATTTCTGGCCTCTTTGCCCTAGTAGAAACAAAAGGCCCGAGCCGGCATTGGAATTATGCTTAGGCAGTCTTACCATACATTTCTGTGCCTAGGTTAAGCCGCCGGGGAAGGAGGCGCTTAGTGGACTTGGAAAGAAAGCCTCGGGATAGGAGTTCGAACGTGGTATCTAGGGTGGGTCCTAGCTGCAAGGAGTGTTTTAAAGAGTGTGGGCTAAAGCTGGCCTGCAGTTTGCAGCCAGTTCCTGCACTAACTAACCTGAGGTTATTGGTAAAGTGGGGCTTTTTTTTTTTCTGAGGATTATTCTTATGTCCCCTAACACCAGGCTTTAAAAGCATTGGGAGAAAATAGGAAGACGGGAGGCGCTCTGGGTCCTTCAGAGTTGTAATTGAAAAGCTTTCAGAATCCAGCAACTTAAGGACAGTTTAAGAGCTTTCCCCAACCATGTGGTCAGTAATCAGGCAGGTAAATGCTGGTTGTTGGTGCCAGGGTACAGAATACCCCTAGAAAAGGAGGACTCTGACACCCTGCAGCCCAGGAAGACAGCCTGGTGGAAAATGGTTTTCAAAGAGCCCTTTCCACCTTCCTTCTCCCTGCAGTGTTTGAATTTTGTAAGAGTGAGTGTTACTCTCCCCTGTTAAAGCTCAGGGCGTCAGAATGTGTTCGTCGAAATTTGTGTGTAGCCGGATACTGCCGGTCCCCCCCCCGCCCCGTCTTTGCTCATGCTTCTGTACCGCTACCCATCGTGTGTTGTACTAGAAGACAGCAGCGAGCCCACCCGGCAGGGGGGCCTTTGGAGTCCTAAGTTCAGATAAGGTATCTGAACTTGGGCTTTCTTTCCTTTAAAATAAAGGAGTTAGGCTGGACCTTTTGAGAGATTTTTGAGCCCTTCTGACCTTTAGGCAGAGCATTTTGTGGCTCCCACATAATTGCCCCCTACTGAGTTTTATTGTGTAATCTGAAGCTCTAAATCTCTACCGATTGGATAAGGACCATCATAAAGTGCCTGAAAGCTGTCGATTTAGGTAATTTTAGGTGTATTAGGAAAAAAAGTACCTAAAGTACAGTGTATGTCTGTTTCTAGTTTCTACAAAGGATTACAATTCGAACTCCCACATGACTGCTGGTCTGACCAAGAATTAAAACATTGCACACACTCTGAAGGCCCACTTGGATCTCACACACACACACACACACCCCGCCCCCCAGCCTGTTTTTAGTTGTCTTCAACTGTGCCTTTGGGGGTTAAAAACAAAATGTAACTGCTAAATCTGACCAGTGTGTGACTGTAGCAGTTTTGAGGCCATACACATATATGTTTGTGTGCTGTAGGCAGGTAAATTCTTGTGAAAAGCATCTGGTTTCACACCGATCTGAGGACATTGGTTGTTACATATCAGCTTTGCCAATTTTATGTCTTATATAACTGTTCTTGTATAAAAGTCCTCTTGCAAACATTGAACTTAGATATCAGCAACTTAGAGTTTCTCACACAAACCTCAGCAAACTATAGGTTGAAGTACTCGGTTTTTTTATGTTTGAGGGGGGGTGTATTTTGTGAATACCACGTGGAAGAAGTGATTTGTGTTTCATTTTCACTTGCCTTAGAGAGCACACCTGGTGGTGCTTTTGATAATGCCCTAAGGTTTAACCTTCAAATGCTTAAGGTTGTCTTAAGCAAGTCACTTCATAGCCTTTGAGAGGTTGATTGGATGATGCTGATTCAAATTCTGAGTTAAGGGCATACAGGGAAAAATAAGTAGTCAAGTAAAGTGTAGAGGTAGAAAGGTGAGCCTTAGAAGATGGATTCAGCAAAATGGTCTCACGCCTGCTGGACTGAGGAGCAGCCTTTGGATGGGGTAGGGGTGGAAACTGCTCCATGAAGAGCCGCCACATCAAACCGTTGATTTCAGATGAGAAACTTTTCTGAATGGGATAGAAAGGCCCCTTTTGTTTGGCCCTAGTGGCAGTGCTGTCTGCTAACATAGAATAAGATAGGTATTTCTTGTGGAGAGCAGAGAATTGGGCAGATTTTTTTTTTAAAAAAAAAAGGAAAATTACAGGAACTTTTACTTAGAGAAAGAAGAAAGGGGAAGAAAAATTGTTGCTTTTTTTTTTAAGTTGAAAATCTTTTTTTTTTTTTTTTTTCTAAAGAGGGAGAGAAACACCAACCGGTTGCCTCTTAACCCCCAACTGGGGACCTGGCCTGCAACCCAGGCATGTGCTGTGACTGGGAATAGAACCAGTGACACTTCTGGTTTCTCAGTCCACTGAGCCACACCAGCCAGAGCGAAATCATTTTGAATTTTTATTTTTTATTTTTTAAATTTTTAAAAAGATTTTATTTATTTTGAGAGAGGAAGGAGAGAAGGAGAGAAACATCAATGTATGGTTGCCTCTTGTGCATCCCCTGCTGGGAACTGGCCTGCAACCCAGGCATGTGCCCTGACTGGGAATCGAACCTTGATCGTGTGTGGTTCGCAGGCCCATGCTCAATCCACTGAGCTACACCAGCCAGGGCTGAATTTTTAGAAAGATGGTTTTATCTAAAACCAAATTCTTCCCGAAAAGATCAAATGCCTTCTCTGCCATATATCAGGATTATTCTACCTTAACTTTGCTTTGGTGGGATTTCTAAGTTATTGTACAACTGCAGTCCTCAAACCCTTTAAAACACTGGATTGAGATGACTTCTGTTTTCTGCCATTCCATTTCACAGTCTTGCTAGGGAGTTACAGTTGGTCTGATTTGCAAAAGTGAGAGAGCAATAGAAAAACTAGTTTTTGATGAGGTGTACCTACTAATGTAATCAATCTGGTGTTGTGCATTGTAATGTTGCTTGCCTCCTTTTTATATAAAGCTAAAACTTCTCATCCTATTGGTTCATCTTGTTCCGTTAGTCGTGGGGTGATGATCACATATTAGGAATGACAGCCTGTAGTTAAAGGGGGTTTGTGGCCCTGGCTGGTGTAGCTCAGTGGATTGAGCATGGGCCTGCGAACCAGAGGATCACAGTTTGATTCCCAGTCAGGGCACAAGGGTTGAAGGCCAGTTTCCAGCAGGAGACGCACCATAGGCAACCATACATTGATATTTCTCTCCCTCTCTCCTTTCTCCTTCCTCTCTAAAGATAAATAAATAAAATCTTTAAAAAATAAATAAATAAAGGGGGTTTGTAGCCATGGGAACATGCAAAGTATCTCTGCCAAATCAGCTGAATGTGACCTGATTAGTTGGCACTGTATTCAAAATGAAGTAAACTGGCTTAGACTTATTTTTTGGGTTGGTGTTAATAAGAGGTATTCATTTGGAACTCTTTGCTCTGTGCAGTTTAAAGAGTTCGTCTTCTTGCCACCTGAGTTCCTTCCCCCCTATTTTCCCCTTTTTTGTTGACCTCATACAATTTTCTCTCCTTGTTTCCTCTAGATTACAGTACCTACAGCCAAGCTGCAGCCCAGCAGGGGTAAGTCAGTCTTTTACAACAGTATGTTTTGTGTGACTGAGTAATCTTTGTAAAGTACAGAGGCCACTATAGTTGTGGAGGATTTAGTAAGGGAATCTGAATGCTCTATATTGAGTTCTTCCATTTAATTTCTCTTACAGCTACAGTGCTTATACCGCCCAGCCCACTCAAGGATATGCACAGACCACCCAGGTAATCCTTGAGAT